AAACAAATTTTTTTTTTTTTTTTTTTTTCTTTTTTTCTTCTTACAGCACTTTTGGTGTGTCTTACTTAAACAAGTAAGCCAAAAGAGCCTTACCTAAAGTAGATCTGTTTCTACTAACGAGCCAACAATGGTAGCCAAATAGAAACATAAGGCTTACGAAGAACATGACCGCCACAAAGAGAAGAAAAAGGACATGAAATTTGGAACGTCCATTAGTCAGTTCACCCTGGAAAGAAAAGCAACACGGAACAAGTGGTAAGAACAAATAAAAGCTGGAAATTCTTTGTTCCTAGAGAGAAGAAAGATATCATCTAAAACTCCTACCTGGAGTTCTCAAACTTGTATACCCAAAAGTCACACCTTACTATAAAAAGCGGGAAATAAGCAGGCACTAGAGCTTGAAGCCCTGTTCACGTTCTGCCGAGTTTCCTGTCCGTATATTAAAATTCGGCACCTCTTGCTATATAAGGCACACCAAGAAAACCTGGCCTCCACAGCTATAGCAATCAGGTAGCGTTAGAACTGAGCATAGATGGTTTGGAAAAATTTAAAAGCCAAGCAGGATCTTACATCCAGAAGAAACACTTACTTCCTTCTAGAGTAGAAAAGTCAAGTGCCAGAGATCCTCATAAGCATGTATCTACAGATAGGCTGCGGGGACCTCAAAGTAAAAATATTACTTCTCAGCCTTTGCTCATCCCATATCTGCAGCCACAGAGCTCAAGTCTCTGCCTTTCTTAGCATAAGAAACAATTCCTGCTAGTGTCCCATAAGCATCTCAGGAGGCATTTTGTGTAAGTGATTAGCCATTAACAAAACAGAAATTGAATCAAGTAATGCACAGCAAAGTTAAGTTACTTAAACACAGTCACACAGAGTTAGCAGCAGAGGGGACATAAAAAAACTAGAGACAAAAGGCCAGTCTCTTACTGGAACTGTCAGTTGGCATTGCTTGCATATGAATGATAATCGATAACTGAATAAGCAGCGTACTTTATTTCAGTCAACTTTTAAATTGAGAAAGGAGTCATATGGGGATTAGAAAACAAACAAGGATTTTTGATATTGTTCAGTAACTACGTACTGATCAATGCCAGGATGTTATACTTTGATATCAAAGATTCTGAGGTATGTACATGCAAACACAAGAACAGGAAAAGGATGTAACTTCTTTGCCAGAAGCTAACTCTACAATTTGAAATTCCTGAAGTCTATTTGCTTCTCACATTGTGCATTTCAGACATGTAATGGGAGCTGTACTCAAAAAAGGGCTCAGGAAAATGCCTTCCGGAAGAAATGCAGACCCTCCATTGACTGAAAGCAAAAAAGTAACAAGAGGGACTAAACCCCACCAGACTCACAGGATATGAAAAAGTAACCAGATTTCACAACTTACTGTCCAATACTTAATGAAATACTTGAAGACTGTTGCAGCAATATACAAGCAATACAACAAAGAATAGGCTAAGAACAGTAGAAAGAATTTGTAGTTAGAAAATCCAATGCAGTTATTCACCCTAGAGAACAAAAGCAAAGTTGAAATCAGGATATGTACAGTACACAGTTGTAAAACAATAAGTACTACCAATTTTTGGGGGTTTTATTAAGCCTTTCGAGTATACAACACAATTTCGTCAAGAAATTGCTCCCCTCAGTGGCGAAGTGAAATATAACTAAAGTCTCTTTGCTTTTCACTTGAAGATTTCTTGCTATGCCAAGTAAAAGGACAGTTCATACTTTTGGAATCTGTTTTAAGGTTGGTACCACCGGCAAATTTGTCACAGGGGCAGGCTCTACTGATTCATGTCTATTTGTTGACTGAAAAGGTAATCAGGTCTGGGATTTCTGTGTTACTTTATTCATTTGCAAAACTCAGGAGCCAGATTTACCACTACTACAGATAAAACAAATAAAACCAAATTTGATTTTAATTCTCCATGCCCAGGACAACTCTGGAAAGAAACAAGGGAATGCAGAAAACATAGTAGGTGTTTCAAAAGTCAGGTTTGAAAAATCCTCTACAATTTAGGATTACCAGGGAGGTTCTGGTGGGGAAATGTTTGTGTTGCTTCTGATTTCTGAAATCTTCCTTTTAAAAAAGAGGAGGAGTTTAAGAAATTTAGCAGCAGTATAATAAGTATAAAGTATAATAAAGTTGCATTCATCCATGCACCATTCTACATGACCTGTCTCTGACCATGCACAGGTGGCAGGCATCCTTTCAGAAACAATGTGCGTGCAAGCATTATTGAAAGCAAGCACCAAATGCATGCTGCAACAATTATACACCCAAAATTAAAGGCTAAATTGAAGTCCCTTTAAAATTTGAATACTAGTCAAAGCGTGAATTAGCAGATGGAGTTTAAATTATATCCATATAACAGCTTTTTTACACATAGTTTATGGAACAACATGAATGATCTGTCTTTCACAATATCAAACATTTCAGGCAATTCAAAGTGCAACTGTTTCATAAATTTCCCAACATAAAGAGATGCATGAGTTAAAATCAAAGAGGTGTACAAACACTATTCTGTTGAAGAAATGTATTTAACAGTATCCAGGACATACCATGGACAGTGATGATCCATTTTTAGCACGC